CATCAGATGTATTTGTATGCAAGGTGGATCTGTATCTACATCTCTCCCAGGTGGACGTCATCTCAAGATCTCATTAAGGATATCTACATCTATCTCAGGATCCCATCTCTACCTGGATTTCTCATCTATCTGGAGCTCTCATTACTCTGGATATCTCATCACCATCTTTCTCTATCATCTGGATCCATAGATCTCTATCAGGTGGATCTCATCTGTCTCAGGATCTAATCTCCATCTCAGGATCTAATCTCCATCTCAGGATCTCAAGATCACTGCCTGGATCTCTCTCTAGATCTCTATCTGGATACCTACATCTCTCTCTCTCTCTCTCTCTCTCTCTCTCTCTCTCTCTCTCTCTCAGGTGGATCTTCATCACCATCTGGATCCCTCTCTATAGCTATCTCAGGATCTCTTCAACGACTCTCAAGCTCCCCTGTATCACAAGCTCTACTATCGAGTTCATTACAGCAGCAAATTGTTATCTGTTCTTCTACAACCAACTGAATTCAGAGGACCGCGGTGCTGGATCAACCGCGAAGATACAGCTTTCTTTATTCTTTCTTTTTCTCCCCTAAATCCCCTCGCTACATTACACACAATCTTCAGCCTAAGCCTCAGCCCTTTACTGATGGTACAACAACCAGTGAGTCAGTGGAGTCGTTTCCACTTGGCTCCGCGGGAAGCCGGGGGCGGGGCGATGGCGGGGGACGGGGAGGGGCCGGGCGGGGCTGATGGGCAGTCCGATGAGTCACCCGGCCCCGGGGTCGACCGACCGGGCCAGGCCGGGCCACTGCGGTCAGACGGCGTCACCGACATCGATCAGCGGCGGGCCCGGTTCCGGCCGGGCAGCGACCAGCTTCGGTCACCAGCTGAGGTCCGACAGGGACCCGAAAACCAACGGGGCCCCGGCCAGCGGCTGAAATCTGACCGAACCTCTGTCATCAGCTGCAAGGGCGGACTGACTCCAAAACCAACTGAGACCCTAAGTCCCAACTGGACCACGCCCTCTGGCTGAGGGTGAACTGGGCCCCGAAAACCAGCTGGAAGTGGACCGGGCTCTGCCACAACCGGAGACCAGCCTGGCCTCTTATCACCAATTAGTCTGAAGTCCAAAACTGTTCCCGATACCTCGGGGAACCTGACCACCAGCAGCTGTATCGTTCCCAAGATTCTGACCTTCCTTGTGCGCCGAACATAGGAATCATTTCTAATGGTTCCACCATTCAACTAGTGTCTAACGCCTAAAAGGACTCGAACTATGGATTCCGAACCTTGAACCCCAACTGCATTAGCAGTCGGAGTTATTGACGCTAGCATCAAACTCGCACAGCTAAACGCCATTACTCGAATTCACAGAAACAGCACCCTTTGAACGATGAGCCTTCCGGGGGTCGGCTCTCGGTCAGCCATGCCATCTACCATTAGCGGCCAGCCATTCTTATAAAGAAAAAGGACGGAGGGACGGAAGGAAAAAAAGAACTCAATGATTTAAACGATTCCGTTTTTATTGGTTATCATAAAGGTTCCGTCCCTCTACCCCTCCCCCTTCGTTGTTTTGCTAGGATGCGTTTTTCGTCTAAATGATCAAGAGCTTTAGTAAATGAAACAGGAATCATTTCCTGCAATATTTTCTTATAAATTTCGTCACAAAGAATGCAATAAGACTAAGAAACTACTGTGTGATCGCTATATAGGTATAATAAAATGAGAACCTGCAATTATTTGGGATCATATTTGAATTTTTATGGGACCGGGGGCTGTTGTCTGCTACGATCGCTACGATCAAGGATACTATACATAGGCGAGGTGTGTAATATGTTGTAGTCTTTCCTGCTAGGCTGAAACCCACCAAAGATTGTTTTTGCGTATAAATGTGGTAATACCTATGTCCTACTCAGTGATTGGGTGTCTAATAAGCGGTAAGGGAACAACGCAGACACCCTGAGTTAGCGTGGCGGCTCGGGACAGGCGGTAGAGATAAAAGAGGAGGGGATACTGATAAGATGCCTTAACCCTCGCACGACCAGGCCATTTCTCATAACACGAACGACCAGGGGGGGGGGGTTGTTACGACCCCCCCTGGCGTTTCGAAACGGAAGGTCGTAGAGCTTAGCGGAAAAAACCAACGGATTGCTCTTAACGAGATCTCGCGATTAGTGGTATATTTTTTGGTCCTAGGTCAACATTTGACCTACTTATGACCGGTCAAAGGTCAAATTTTCCGAAAAAATCAAACTTTTTCAACTTTCCGCGGCGATTGCGGCAAAACGGTGGGAGATATCGACTTGAAACCTTCACTATCGTGTTCCTTGATCAATTCTCTATCGTTTGGTATGTATTTCGTTTCCCTAGCTCTAAAAATGGCGCGTTGGGAGCGCCGGAAGTCGGCAAGGTCACAGTCGGCGGCAGAAATTCGAAAAATCAAAATTTAAATTTTTGAAATCTGATTGTATTTTTGGATTTGGGAGGTCCATTTGCTCCCTATAGAAGCTAATATTGCTGCATATTCCCATTGAGGTGACAAGAATTAGCAAAATAGTGGTTCGGGCGCTTTTCAAAAATAGTACCGGACGCTGTTCCCCTTGTGACGTCATAGCTCCGTGACCTGACCTGACCCGGTCAATTTTCTTGCACCACACGATAGCCAATGCTTGCCCCAACATGCATGGGAAGTTTCATCATGATCCATCAAACAATGTGGGTATCACCGGCAGAAAACCTAGGGATTCGGCGCACACGTTTGGTAACTGTCGGCCGGAGGCTGTACCTCTTATGACGTCATAACTCCGTGACCTGACATGACCCGATCAATTTTTTTTCGGCAAAAGATGCGCAAAGGTTGCCCCAGAGGGTATTGAAAATTTCAGCCCGCTACGACAAGCCGTTTAGCGTGCACTTCGAAAAAACCTCAGGGGGGGGGGGGGGTGATACACCCCCCCCCCCTAGGCGTTCTAGGGTTAAGGCATCTTATCAGCTAGGGGACGACGCGGCGCGCGGCGAACGCGCGCGGCGGCTCGGGATGAAAGGGAGGGAGAGAGGGTGGGAGTAGGTAGAGAGAGAGAGACGGGTGAGGCACGTGTTGTTTTGACGGTTTCGACTGACGCTAAAGAGGGGGGAGGGGAGCGGGGGAAAGAAATGGCCTGTGGATCTACTCTGTGTGGGGTCAGAGGACAGTCCAGCGAGAGCGCTTGAGCGTGGCGGAGTGTACACGAATTTCTCTGCGTGCAAACAAGAACTTTAAGTGCTAACGAGAAGTTGTAGTACCACGTGACTCAGACCTCCAACCGTGATACCAGTCGAGGCGCCAGAGGACACAGGACACAGGCCAGGTGAGGGTGGAGCTGCCGGGAGGCAGTTTCAAACACCTACCACTTACTGGATGTTGCATCTCACGATGTCCAATCCTGCCTGTTCATGTGTATGCCTGATAAACAACGATAGCTGCAGAACAGATAGCGGTCCGTATAGGTACTTGGTCTACATGTCAAATTGACGAATTTTTGTGTGAAATAACTCCCGATCAATGTCATACAGTTCACATATCGATTATCATGCAGCCTGAAACACATTTCGCACAAGTTGCTCTCGCAAACAGCTAAACGTCGTACCAATGCCGTAAAAAAGCGCTGCTGAAGAGCAGCGCTATTTCCGATGCGTTATTTTTCACGAACAACGCAAAGTCTTACGTCACCAGAGGCGTCTTTGTCTCTTTATGATACGGAAACGCGTCCTTTTGGGTGGGGGTAGCGTCAATCTGGCTTCGTTCTTTGAACGGGTTCCGTCTTCCGTCTTCGTCCTTTTATGATAACCAAATTCCGTCTAATCTCAGAAATGACGGAGCGTCCCTCCGTTCTTTTCTTTATAAGAATGGCAAGCTGGTTAGTGACCAGCGTTTCTCCGACCAAGGGTGACCGCCGGCCCTGACCGCAGACCACCGGTGCTAACACGCCAGCTGACCACAGACAAACACTGACCAGCGGCGACACAACCGCAGCCCCAATGCGACGCAAAACACCGCGGCTCCACAGGGTCTCCACCGATCGATTAGCCTTGCTAAGGTGCGGCCCGGACGGCCGTTTGACGTGAAACTGTGGGGACTTTAGCCTTTTGTGGCCCTGTCAGGGTTTCATTCGGCAATGTGCCCTGTTTGGCCGATGGAGTGTTGGTGCTGGGCAGCTCCGCTGCGCCACGCCGCGACGCACGGCGCAGTACGTGGGATTCGTGTTTGTCGCACTGCATAGAGCATGGTGGAACGTCTTCCCGATGGTATTCTCTAAAATCGAGTCACAAAAAGACATTTTTTCTCTTTTTTCATATGGATGAAATACCAATCGCACTTTACCTACTTTGAAGTCCAGAACAATCTCTGTCTCCCATAACATTTCCTTTTTTACTTTCGCAGCTTCCAATCAATGTTGCTTTTTGATCAAATATTATGTTAAAATCGCTGAATCCCACACCAGCATAAGCCCTGCACAGCTAGAACAGGATATGCAATTCAAATATTATCAATATCAGCGGTTGCCCATTATCCTCAACTAAAATAAAGACTAAATAAAAAAAAACGCGAAAACCCATGTCAAACTAATCCCGGATTCCTCGGGGGACCACCAAAATCACGAACTGACGAGACATTTTATCATTTTCCTGGCATTCTATTTCCACACGACGACGCCACTCTCCGACCTCCCACCTTACATCAGTTTTCCCTCCCTGGGGTGTCATCCAACCATCGGAATTATCGGAACACGAATTTCGCGCTGCGCCGGAAATCGTTCGAACACATGGCGCTGTAACATAGAAGCTGACACAACCGATGATCACGATCATTTTCATGTAAGAATATAATTTTTTAGGTTATTGCATGGAGTATACGGTATGCCTGCTCATTCCCTTTCACTGCTGCACCTATCCACCTCCAAGTCCAGTGTCGGCTCCCCCCCCCCCCCCCCCGGAGCTTGTCCTGCGCTGACCCAGCTCATTGCCCCAACTACACTCACTTGTGGTGTTGCCGTCCATTTCGATGATTCCCTCGCATTCTCGGCTGACCTCGCGTGCGTTGAAGGGCCGCACCCGCACGGCCACCTTTACCGACGACATGATGGCGACCGCAGCGAACCTGATGGCACAAAACGGAAACTCTGCTGTGATCGTAGAAAACGAATAATGCTAGAAGACCTAAAATATCACTTGTAAAGCCTTTTTGTTTTTTATTGTTACATTCATCCAGAGTTAGCTTGCATATCCATTACATTTAGGCGATATAGTGGTTCGGTAAGAAAGCAAAAGTTTTCAGAAAATAAATTGCGTCATGTTAGGATGTTCATGTAATTTCATATTGATGCAAAGGTCTAGCAATTGTAATTGAAGGTGAGCGGTATCACGACACGAACACCATGGTGCCCGTAATTAGAGACTATTATACAGTGGCACCCAAGGTCATCTCCCATGTGGCGGCAACCTTGAGTGAGGCAATCGTTCATTGGTTCCGTGCAATCGTTCATTGGTTCCGTGGAAGCATTACACAGATCCCATTTACACAAATCCAATAAGCCATTGTCCGCGGCGCCGGACCTCTTCCCTCCGTTACGCAGTTAGTCACACGTGACATCGTCGTCGGCCGATATCGATGCTCGTCGGGACCGTCGCCGGCAGCCAGCCAATTACAGAACAGTCTCAGGGGGATCGCACGGTTATATCCAGCCTCAGAATATCCCGGACATCCATCTTCGGGACAGCGGGTATCCTCATTTCTCAAGACTTCGCCCAGTTAACTGGGCGGTATTTATATCCGACAGTGTTTCTCACAAGACCTCGAACAATATAAATACACACTCTTGTATATGCACATGAAAAAATGTAACCGAATTTTACTTTAGGTTAGGTACTAGAAAAGACGACGGCAGTGCGGAATCCCTGGCTCGGAGGCGGGGAGCGCCGCCGGAAATCTTTCGACAACAGGGCCTCGTTTCATAAAACTCTGCCGTAACTTACACCTTTCCGTAATTCACACCCTTTCAAACTACGGAGCGCAAATAAATCCGTTTCACAAAGCCACAACTGGAATTGTTTACACCTCCGTAACTAAGCACATTTGCGTAGTTACCGTAATTTATCAAGCGTCCTACAAATTACAATTTCATGTCAACACTTATTTTTTTACGAGAATTTATAAAACAATTATGTTGAATTTAAATCTTAAAAATTATGTATGAAAAAACAAAATTGATATTGATGACCATCCTTTATTAAAACAATATATTAAAAACAGCAGAAAGCCAGCTAAGCAGAAGTGCCTAACTACGAAAGTGGCGCGGCGCGGCGAATAAACAAAATTCCGATAGTGGCCACAAAAAGCGACTGGTACAGAAAAGATTTGCAGTTTCTTTTTCTCATTTTGGCTGTTCTTTCTTCCTCACCGGGCTCAACATTATAAAATATATTGAAAATTAGCTTCGAATCTTCACATTAATTCAAAATCACGCAACATTTTTGTGCGTAGTTTACACCACTGATATCAAGAGCTTGATAAAATATTTGGCGTTAATTACGTCGCCTTTTATGAAACCCAAATGGCATCAATTGGTCCGGAATCGAGCATTTGCCGTAAATGAAGCTCCGTACTTTCGATGGCGTGAATTACTCCGGTCTCCGGCTTTATGAAACCGAATTGGCATCAAATACGCCAAATCTGGCATAATTGACGGAACGCCGTAAGTAATTCCTTTTATGAAACGAGGCCCTGGAAGGTAGACTGTGCCGCCTCACACGGCTGTACGGCGGCGCAGTATCCCGCAAACCGTGGCCGCCCACATTGCTCCAACAGACGGTAAATAACTTTTGAAAATACCCATCTCCAATTTTAGTGTTTTCTGAACCAAAATTTTGCGAGGAATCCGATGGTGTGGTCCCCGAAATCTAAAAAATTTCCATTTTGGAGATAGCACCTATTTTTGGAAAGTAAATATTCGTCATGCACAAATGTCAAATAAATTGAAAATATAATGAGTGAATATTTATATTAACACTAGAATGTATCGAACATAAATTAGTGATATATTTTAGCTGAGCTGATACTATATCTGCGCATACATGTACATAAACTAGTACATTAACCCTCGCCGGCCGAGAAGGGGTGGGGCGGATGCCGCCTCATAGGTTTTTTTCGCGATAGCTCAAAACACGCTGAGGAAAAACAGCTGAAACTTGGCATACCTAATATTTTATTCAAGCTGGATCTTTTGACACCAACTGCGTTTTCAGGTCAGATCAGGTCACTGACCTATGACGTCATAAATGAACCTCTGCACGGTCCTCAGAAGTTGCAACTTTGCAACGCCCTCAGTGCCAGAGGAACTTTCACAGGAAGCTGAAACTAACAGGACGTAGTATCCTTTAAAGGTCTCACAAATTGTATATCTCATATTTTTCCCAAATGTCACATGAGGTCAGTTCGGTCACGTGACCTCACCATAATAAGTCAATGGAGGGAAATATGAAAACTGTTATTTTGGCGCCGGAAATTGTCTAAAAACTGTCCCAAGCACATGAAATCGTGGTTTCATGCACTCTTTGTAAGGTCCGATCATGAAACCACGATTTCATGTGCTTGGGATAGTTTTAGATCATTTCCGGCGCCAAAATAACAGTTTCAATATTTCCCCCATTGACTTATAATGGTGAGGTCACGTGACCGACCTGACCCCATGTGACATTTACGCTAAATCCGAGATAAACAAGTTGTGAGGCCTCAGAAGGATACTACGTCCTGTAACTTTCATCTTCCTGTGAAAGTTCCTCTGGCACTGAGGGCGTTGCAAAGTTGCAACATCTGAGGACCTCGCAGAGGTTTATTTATGACGTCATAGGTCAGTGACCTGACCTGACCTGAAAACGCAGTTGAGGTCAAAAGATCCAGTTTAAATAAAAGATTAGGTATACCAAGTTTCAGCTGTCTACCCTAAGCGAGTTTTAAGCTATCGCGAAAAGCCCTATGAGGCGGCACCCGCCCCACCCCTTCTCGGCCGACGAGGGTTAATGTACTAGTTAATGTACATGTATGCGCAGATATAGTATCATCTCAGCTAAAATATATCTTTAATTCATGTTCGACACATTCTAGTGTTGTTACAAAAAATAACTCATTATGTTTTCAATTTATTTGACTATTATGCCTGACGAATATTTATTTTTCAAAAATAGGTGCTATCTCTAAAATGGTAATTTTTCAGATCTCGGGGACCACACCATCGGATTCCTCGCAAAATTTTGGTCCAGAAAACACTAAAATTAGAGATTGGTATTTTCAAAAGTTATTTACCGTCTTTTGGGGCAATGTGCGCCTCGATTCGCGGCGGCTCCGCTGTCCGGCCAATAGCGCCCCAACCGCCTTGGTTAAACTATCCCCAAATCGCACCATTCTCTGTTCTTAAAAAAGCGAACAGAATATATCAATTAGAGTCATCACTGTACGACAGCTTGTAACTAGCCAGCTTTAGAGTTACTTCAACAAATGACGTTTTTCAATGTCCTGCATTCACGCGCTTTGATGGGACTGCAGAATAAACGATGGTGACAACATGTAGCAGGGGTTGACGCACTTTTGTACCATTATCTTTATTCATTTATGACACCAGGAAAATGACTTTTGTCAGCCACCTAAAAATAAACATGCCAAACAGAATAGTCATTTTTCTGCCGCGCCCAGCGTTATGGACAGTCTACCGTGTGAGCGGCTCATTGTGATTCGTCGCTTGCGTCGCCGTCTGTCGTTATTCAGGCCAGACCGGACAATGGGTCTATGGGCTGTCAGCTGGCGTCGGTATCGGCCGTCGCGTGGGCGGCAGGCCGGGCCGCAATGGATGGATGCCACCCAGCGCCGACAGACACTAACGGGAACCGGGCGGCGGAAACTGATAAAATATGTCGGCTAGCGATAGTGCTTTCATTGGCTTTCATTAGCTTTCTTAGCTTTCATTGGAACAAAATCAAGCGATTATAGGAAAGCCCGTAATGCTGTACTTAGGTGTACGAAAATTAGCAATGATGCTCCGGTGGTTAGGTTTGGAACTTATGGTACAAAATGGTGCTCTTTCACTTTATCATCATTCATCGTGATCACCTCCATCACCACCCACCTCCCTTCACCATGGCTTTATTTCCCCGCCGCCCCCGCCCCCGCCCCCGCCGCCGCCGCCCCCGCCGCCCGCTCAGTGTTGGCGCACGGATCAATGGAAACTCACTCTGGGTCGCAGTTTGAGAGAAAAGCAGGCCAGGGTCGGTGGGCCGCGCCGGCCTCGCACAGCCCGCTGGGAAGTGATGATACGAACACGACTAACGTGGCAAAACACGCCCGGTGGGTGGAGGAGGGGTGGAGAGCGGCCTCCGCCGACATAGAGATGCCACCGACAGAGACAGCTTTGTCCGGGAAAGGTGACGGTTGACGCGACTCGGTGACATCATAGGTCAAAGTAATGTGTGTATTGATCGCCCCGGAGTGGATCGGCCGGAAACGTCTAAACCTCTTAGCATACGAGCCGCCGCTTCTGGAATTACTTTATGATCCAAGCATGTTCGACTTTGTCTTCAATCTACTAAGGACAATATCCGTTTACTCAAAGCGAAGTGAAAGTCAATTCAAGATAAAGAAAATGATCTAGATGCCTTGCGTGTGCCTATGCCTAATGCCTATAGGTATTCTATTATTCCTGAGCATAAGAACGTAAACAAAATGGTTATCACTAAAAAGCGCTGCATCATCTAACACGCCATTTTGACGGGATAAGACTGCATAGTGCATATGCATTACGGATCATATACACATAAAATAAGTCACGTATAGCCCGAAAGTCTTAAGGTAATTACCTCTAAAGTAGCCTCGCTTATTATTTACGATAAGCAAACAATTGGCAAAAGGTTTTGTTGTAGCAAGTTGCATGGCATTGCTTATTCGCAAAGATATTGCTGACCGATCCTATTACGAGAAATAACGATTGAAAACATTGGCTTTGGCCCGCCTACGCTTCTGCTGCAGGCCCGCAGCGGTTGTCATTACTGACCGCAAAGGTCGTGACAACTGACAGCCCAATTCCTGAGAGAAATGTTGGTGCCGAAAAGCTG